ATCAGGTTGAAGATCATGATGATCATTAATTAATAAAATAAAATCTTTATTCCATTTGCAAATGGATGAAGCAACAAATACAATTAATGGGGCTCATTTTGATTACATATGAATGATATATTATAGAAATTAATGTAAGGAAAGATTTGTTACCTGCTGATAGCAATGCTGTTTTAAAGAGAAACTTCCAATATAATAGGTGGATTCTTTAATGAAAATGGTACAATGTGGAAGAACTACATTGGATTCTATAGTGATAAGCGTTAAATAGATGTAAAGGTGAAGGGGTCTACAAGCACTAAAAAAAATGTGGCCCTTCCTGCAATTTGGACACAATATATACTTCACATATAAATGGAGAAATATGAGTGAGAATTTACTTACAGCTTTTCAAGTTGTTACAAGAGTAATCAATTTAACAACAAAAAAACTCCATTAAAAAGAAGGCTCTTTGCAAAACTGAGATGATACGAGAACAGAGCGAACAGCACTTCTATATTATTACAAAACACATGGGCTTTCCTATGCTAAAGTACTTCTGAGGATGTCTGAATTTGAGCTAAAAAATTTCTTAATAATATTTTTTAAAATATAAAAATTTTTATTTTATAACAAAAATTCCCTTTTGAATGTGTATTTGGTGGTGATTTTTTTGAGTACTTTAAATCAAAGCAATGTCCTTAAATTCATACCCTGATCTAGAAAAGATAATATGACTGTGAACTGATCTTATTATCTTTTCCCCAAGACCTACATTTCTTCTGAACTTCTCTATTTCCATAATGGGTGCTATGATCATTCCAGTCACCCAGACTCACAATCTCAGTGTCATCCACATCTCCTTACTCACCCCACATATCCACTCAACTGACAAACTTAGTCATTTCTACCTCTACAACACAGGTTACATTTGATCTCATCTCTCTACTAATATCCTCGTTCAGGATCTCATCAGCTATCACCTGGACTAGTAGGACAGTCTCCTAATTGGTTTCCCTGAATTTAGATTACACCCCAACCATTCTATCCACCACATGCCAGCCATACTGATTTTCCTAAAATGTAAATACATTAGTGTCACTCCTCTAATAATAAAATCCAATGGCTCCCTGCTATCTCTACTATAAAATATATGCTCCTCTGTTTAACATTAAAACCATTCACAACCTGGTCCCAATCCCATTAGAATTTGAGATCCTCAAGAGCAGGAGCCATGTTTTTGTCTTTCTTTGTATCCACAGTTTAACACAGTGCCTAGCACATAGCAGGTGCTTAATAAACGCTTGTTGATTTGTTTTAATACTTGTTAACTGACTGATACCCTACCTTTTTAACTTTATTAAACACACACTACTACCCTCCACATCAACTACAGTTCTGCTAAACCAACCTTCTTACTGTTCCTCACACATAACACTGTACAGAGAACAGGAAATTTTTGTGTAAGAACAGGAAATGCAGAATCCCTAGTTTCCTTCAAGGATTAGCTCAATAACTAACCTATATAAAATCTTTCCTGAAGCCTCCCAAACAATGGTGTATCTCCCCTTCCACCCCTTATTACCTTGTATTTATTTTGTATATATGTACATGTTCTCCCCTAGCAAAACTGTCAAATCCAACCTCTGAAGGCGCAGTAAAATCTCATCCTTTCCCAATCTCTCTTAATTCTACTGCCTTTTCTCTGTTAAGCATTTCCTATTTATCGTGTGTGTGTGTGTGTGTGTGTGTGTGTGTGTGTGTGTTGTGTGTGTGTGTGTGTGTGGTTATCTCCTCCATTAGGTTATAAGCTCCTTGAGGGCAACAACCCTTTTTTTGTCCTTTCTTGTAGCTGCAGCACAGTGCCTAGTACAAAGTGGGCACTTTAAAAAGTTCACTGATTGATTGATCAAGGGCAAGAATCTGGTCTACTTTCTTTTTACTTCTAGCTCTTAGCACGCCTGGCACATAGTAGGTACTTAATAAATACTTGTTGATTGTTTCTTAAACATTTTATATAAACATTCATAAAAGGACCATCACTAAGTACATCAAATTACCATACTGTAATACAATGCTATCCTCAGGGTACACTGACATATTTACAAACACTACACTTGGAAGCCCCAGGTTTCTGAGCTTTTTAAATTTATGTGTCTGTTTTTAATAGATTTTCTACATCTTCCCTCAATGTCACACTAACAGATGCCACTTCTCACCGCTGCTTAGTGGGCCTCCATAAAACAGTTCCCCTCCACTTACTTCCAATCTACTGTGCATCTGGAAACAAGATAAGAAAGTCTATTCTTTTTTTTAATAAATAAGAATTTCAAGGAAGTGCATGAACTACATAGTTCATATAGTTTATGGCATCATTTTTTGGATGCTCAGAAACCTTTTATGTTTACTTACAGATTCTTGACTATATTGTGGATAGGTGAGATGGCCAAAAAAATTGATCACAGATAGCTGAGTTATCACTATATTGGGTTTATGCCTGTCCTAAATATTCAAACGTAGATTGTACTATAGCAACTAAACTTGTATACAATGAAAAAAATTCAGATGTTTTAAAAACATTTTACTGTCATAGTCAAAAAAATTTTGACCACGAACATCAGATTTTTGAGAACAAGGTAACTGTTATCTCATTAGATATTACTTATTTTAAATACTTTATACTAATATTTTATTAATAGTGTCAAACACTAGGTTAGCATAAAGTGAGTACTCAAATAGTTTTAGTTAATATTAATGTACATATGGAAAGATTTTCTATTCTGGAAGTTCTAATAAAATCACAAGTATAGGTAAAAACCAAAAAATTTTCATTTAATATCAAGTTTAATAAACTATATATTATAAAACAAAACAGTATACTGAAATCAAAGAAGTTTTAATTTTGTTAAATTAGAGTTTGGTAGTTAATTAAACATAATTAGTCTGTTACTTTTCAAAGACTGGAACTGCTTATGTGTAATGATAATAATAGCTCAGATTTATAAACTACTTTGTAACTTAATATAATAGCATTTATATAATACCTTAAGGTTTGCAAAGAACTTTATATGTGTTATCTCATTTGATTTCAATACTAAAAAGGTATCAAATGAAAGTTGAAGACAAAAAAGAAACAGACACTGAACAAGATGGACAATGATGAAACTCAAAGCCAATGAACTGGTGCATGATACGGTAAAGAAGAAAGGAACAGGGTGAGAAAGACATTAAATAATGTTTTCCTCCCATTTTTCTCTTGTCATCTCTTTCAAAGACTTCTGCATCTCTTAAAAAAAATTTTAAAACACTGGAATAAATTTCCTAATTATAATATTGCTAATTTAAGAGGCCCTCATCACCATACAAGCGGATTACTGCAATACTCTGTTGGTAATTCTCCCTTTCACTCCAATCTCTCTTCATTGAGATCCATCCTTCTCTCAGCTATCAAAGGAATCTTCCCAATGCACGAGTCTGACCATTTCATTTCCTGTTCAATAAACTCAAGTGGCTCCCTATTACCTCCAGGATCAAATATAAAATTCTCTGCTTGGCTTTTTAAGACCTTCACACCCTCGCCTTGTGCTGCTTCTCAAGTCTTCTTACACTTTACTCCTCTCCACAAATGCTACAATCCGTCAACATTGGCCTTCTCGCTAACTCTCACGCCCATGCCTGTATTGTTCTCCCTCCTCATGTCTGCTTTCTGGCTTCATGACTCAGCTCAAAAACCACCATCTGCATAAAGACTTTAGTGGTTCCCTTGACTTCTTTCTCAGATTACTTAATGTTTATGCTATATCCTTCTGGTATGTATGTTGTAGTCTATATGTTTTCTCTGCCATTAAAATGAAAGCTCCTGAGGGTGGGGATGTGTTTTTTCCTTTCTTTATATTTCCAGCGCATAGCACAGTACATGGCACATAGTAAGCAATGAATAAATGCTAATGATAATAGTGCCTTACTAAGCCTAACTGTAATTCCATGACATAGCTGAAAACAAGGCTCTCAAAGTAATTCTAACAATGATCATACCAGACATTGTATGGACTTAAACCGCGATACCACTTTTTTTTCTTAAAGAAAATTTGAAACAAGGAAAATGATTCTCACCAAAATGGCAAAAAAATAGTGGCAGATTAATCACAGGATTGTGGTCAGTCAAATGATTCCTAACAAATTTAAAATGAAGTATGAAAAACATGCAGGACAACATGAACGAGAGCATACTATTAAAAAGATCAGTGGAAAGATAAATCTTTCTGTTTCTAGGACATCAAATTTGAAATGTCCAATACAAAACTAGTAATACAGAAGTAAAGTAGGGAAGTACAAATGGATTATAGATATAGATGAACATATGTATATGGATATAGAAGTAGATGTAATATAGATATAGATGATTTTAGTATGTGTGTACACAAGCTGATGAGGGTACCAAGAGGGAGAAAAGAAGGGGACCTAGCACAGAACCTTGGGGAAACAAGCACAGTTGTGGAATATAAAATTAATGAGACAGAAAAGAGATGGATCAGGAACTCCAAATTTCACTTTTTATACAAGCAAGGGGAGGGTTGAGACAAGATCACTCCTGAATCCATATAGTTTTTGCTCAAAAGAAATAACTATGGAAAGACATTGGCCAAGCTGGAAGAAATATTAACATCCCAAAGAGAGAATTCTGGTTAAGGAAGACTGACCTATGTTAACTACAGCTATCAAAATTAGGAACAAATGTTTCTGATGCCAACGAATATGGAAATGTACAACTTCAAAGGTTGTTATATATAGCACTAAACAGAAAGTAAAAAGTATGTGTGGCATATATAGCATCATTTTAAAGTTTTAACAATCTACAAATGTAGAAAAATGATACATGGAGATAACTCACATATAAAGACCTTATGTGTATATACATATATGTATACATATATTTTAATAATGTATATTTATACATATATACATACATATTTAAATGTAGAGAGACACACACAAAATGTACCAATTAGATGAAATCATACCTTGAACACCTTCCAAGAGCAGATCAACTCCTCTCTTATAAAAACTAGAAGCAGCTTCATAGTCTTCCTCTTCCTCCTTCTTTAAAGCCTGCTTTATTAATTCACCTGCCTTCTCCAAATAATCTTTTTTGCCAAGCCTGGATTTCAGGCTTCCAGCAAAGAGACCACGACTTTCCCGCTCTTCCTCTGTTTTGCTTCTTTCTTTATCAGAAGCAATAGCTCCTAGTGCTGAAGGTTCTGGAGAAAGATTGATACCAAAAGTTCTACTGGGAGAATTCTGATTGGATGCCATTCCATCATCTAATTCAGCAAGGGAGTCCACATCAACAGTCAGAGAGATCAGATCGCTGTCACTGGAGAAACCTAGGCACATGAACAAAAATGGAAGAGAAATATTAATGCTAAGTATCAGCCAAATTTACAGAACTCTCACTCCCTGGTTATTGCTTCATGCTATCTCATACCTATTAGAGGAGTTATAACTTTGTCTACCAAAGCCCACCACCAGAAATTAGCTCTAAGACTTCCTAAATTTCTACCTGTAATTAGCACTCCCTCTTCCTATTGCTGTGGCCAGTCACTGAACTTGTTTTGATATCCAACAAACTGAAGATAGTTTTAGCACTAAAAATTTATTTTACCCTGAAGCTCTTAAGCTCTTATGAAAAAAGGAGAATCATAATTCAGTACACTGGGCTACAATAAACAATGCTAGCCCTCAATATGTATATACATAATATGCACTTCACAGGTATGTTTTTAGATAACCTTACATATTCCGTCTTAGCTGAGGAAATGTGATCCAGTGAACTAAATAAAGGATTGAAAATTGGTCATTTTAACACTTTGCCTGTCTCTCCACAGCTATGTCATAAAAATGATGTACCTAAGTAGCCTAAAACACAAGAAATGTTGCCTGAATGTTAAAATAATAAAATCATTTCTCACAATTGCATAACTGGCTTTATAGTAGTTTGGAAGGCTTTGTCTCAAATTATAATTCTCATTTTGATACTCAGATTTTATGGAGGTTCAGTTTAGCCATCCACATTACAAATTAAGCAATAGGTGGGGAGGGAAATTAAACATGGGACCTCCCTCCTTTCTTTACAAAATCAGGGGGAATCATGGGTATAGAACATTAAAAATACTGCCAGACTTCATTGGTATGTTAGCTTTTTTCCCCTCTTTTTATCCTTTGGGGAAACAAAGGTGATGAGGAAAAAAATATGTAGGTAAAAACTGTTTCCAAAAGAAAAATAATCAGGACAAATTGTCTATATCAATATTGAATTTTGCCAAGTTTCTCTTATAAAAACAGAGGTCCAGTGACTCCAGAAATAACTCAACCAAAACCGTTCCAGATTAATTTCACTTAGATAAATAAATATGCTAAAACACAATTTTTATTTAGAAATAGGAAATGTGGTAAATAAAATAGGATGAGCGTCTACTAATATTAAGGCAAATCTGGGCTGTTGTTATAAAACACTAGGATAATAAAAGTGATTGCATTTTATATCAAGCATTCAAATATAAAAATTAAATTTGAAACTTATTTAGAATTATAAATTTAGCATCAACACCTCTATGCATGGATAAAATAATCTAGCTATAGACAATTTCCCAAGCTATTGCAAAAGGTGGAGGAAAGAGGGATACATTGGGAACTATAGATGATGTAAAAACTAAAGATATAAATTAAAATTGTTTTTTTAAAAAAAGACTTCTAAGATCTATTTTTTTTTAAATTCCTAGGTATAGTAGACAGAGTACTAAACTGCAGAGTTAGAAAGACCTGAGTTCAAATCCTAACTCAGACACGTAGCTGCTGACTCTGGGTAGATTAACCTTCCTCAGCCTCAGTTTCCTCATCTGTAAAATAAGCTTAATAATAGCACCTACCTCAAAGAGTTGTTCTGAGGATCAAATGAGTTAACATATTTAAAGCACTATCCAAAGCTTAAAGTTCCAAATACATGCTAGCTAATAATACTAGTAGTAAAATAATAATAATAATTCCCATTTTTAGATAAGAAAACATTCCAGCAAAAGAAATGACTTGTCAAGTCTAAAAACCAAGTCAGTACAAACACCAGACAGAATTCTGGATGCCTGTCATGAAACAGGCAACAATGGCAGCCTCTAGCCTCAAAGGTCTTGCCATGAAATAATTATTATTCAACAGTTTTCTGAGAAATCCTAACTGTAATTGCAAGTAGAAATTTTTTATCAGATTTTACACACAAGTTGAACTTAATTTAGTAATATATAATGTATGCAAAAAAAAGATTGTGGTATTTAGATTTTAAAGAGGATATCATTGCAAAAAGTCAAATAAAATGTGCTTATTACAAAAGAAGATCTCACCTCCACCTTCTGATTGGCTGGTAAGCGTCACATCATCAAGACCACTCAAATCTTTTCGAACTAAAAGGCCAGAGGAGAAAAAAAATGTCACTGGCATATCTGTGGACTAAAATTACTAACTTCATGTAAAGTGGTTTTAAAAGGTGTATTTTTCAATAACTATAAAGGTAAAACATGTGGCTGGCAGCTAAACTGAAATTTCAAATGAGTTATTTGCCGTGTCAAAATATCTACATCATGTCCTTAGTTTCATTTCTTTCTTTTACAAGACTCTTAAAATGTCTATAAAATACCTATATATAAAACCTTTTCTCTAAAAGGAATAGTAAAGTAAAAGTAAAAAATAAATAAAAGCAACAGAATTCCACTCATCCAACAATTACTCTGTTATAGTATAAGATCCCGAAAGGACAAAAAGAAATCTAGTTCTATTCAATTTTTTTAGACTCTAGACCAGCAAACATTTTTTGTATTTATTATTTATGACCAAAATTTTATGCAAAATCCAAACAGTTTCTCATCAAAATTGCCCACCCACTATACTAAGAAACAGAAACAACTCTGAGATAGAGGACTTGATTTTTAAAGCATTTCTGCGAATCAATTTCCATTTGATTTCCTGATGCCAGTGCCATTTTATAACCTGTGGACAGTTTTTGAAAGAAAATGAACACACAATGTTGGGGGGGGGGGGGAGAACAATATTCTGGTTTGCAAAGCAAACCACAAAAGAAAGGAAACGTTGAGTTAAAGGTCTTCTGTCCATTCTCCGGTGTCTTGTCACTGTTACTATAAGACCATCCATCACATGGCCCTGTTTCATGCCTTGGGTGATTTTCCTTTTTAACGTGCACAATAATGCCAAAGTGCAATAGGACAAAGATATGTGTACTCAGTTTCTTGGCTTCTGACCACAAAAATCTAGGGATATAGTCACACTTCCTCTCAATTCTCTAAACTTACTAATTTCATCACTAGCACAGTGATTCAAAACAGATTAATAAAATGCCTAGGAATAAAATTCCTTAGGTAAACCACTCCAATAAACTTATCAGAAACACCTCTCACAAACTGGAGGATTTAGGGAACACAAATTGGCTGCTTGAAGATATCTTCTTAAAAATCTACCTAATTTCTAAATAAATGAGTGCTAAAAGCACTAGGCAAGTAAGAAAAAGGAACATTTTGTGTGGTCAGACTTGGGTGGTTAGAAGTAAATATTAAAAAATTAGACCTGTGCCTACACATCAAGCTACACTAGCCAAAACCAATCATAAAAGCCTACTACTTTATACCTGGGGCTAAGCAAACCTAACTGTTGAAGGAGTCCAAACTTTACCTCACTTCCACCTCAGTTTCCCTGACATCCTTCTAGTCTCACATCAAATTCCACCTTCTGCAAAAGGCCTTTCTAGTATCCCTAGCTCTTAATGCTTTCTCTTCTGAGATTTCCTCCCATCTATTCTGGATACGTTTCTTTGTATCTCCAGAGGTTAGCACAATGCCAGGCACACAATAAACACTTAACAAATGCTTTTTGATCACTTACTTCACATCTCATTCATCCAGCCACACCTGGGTATCTTGCCATCTGACTTGCTGAGCACGTGAAGTCAATGTCCCAATATCTGTCTGTTTGTTTCTCACACAAACACACACATACACTTTCCAAAGCAATACTACCTTTGCTTCCAGAAAGAACGTGGTGATCACCTTTTATGGCTATGTTCATCATCCTTTAACTTCCCAGACCAAAACTCCCTTCCCTGAGTACCACCCCTCAATATGCGTGGTCTCCTCTTTTGGAATATGAGCCCCGTGAGGGTAGATACTGTCTCATTTTTCATTTGTATCCCCAGTGCTTAGCACAGTGCCTAGCACATAGGTAATAATAAACTAATTATTAATAAACTTTTTTTCATTTATTCACTCATATATACAGAAAGATAAATTAGCATCCACAGGAGCAAAAGCTAAAATTCATGAAATAGGAATAAAGTGGGGCAGCCAGGTGGCACAGTGGATATAGCACAGGCCCTGAAGTCAGGAGAATCTGAGTTCAAATCCAGCTTCAGACACTGCCTAGCTATATGACCCTGGGCAAGTCATTTAACCCTGATTGCTTCCCAAAACACCAACCCAAACAACAATAACAAAAAAAAAAAGGAAGGAAGAAAGGAAATAATATTTTGAAGGTCTGGTATTGTAAGGACATGAAGAATAAGAACTTGTTTGGATACAAGGACATGTTGCTATACAGTAAGACCACGAAATATGGACCAAGACAAAATTATCTATAGCCAGTAGCTATATACGAGTATACTGAGTAGTTCCTGTGGAGAAGATTGTTAGTAGCAGTAGAAATTATACTAAGAGTAGAAAAATATTTCCCTACTCACCTGCTAATTATCTCCAATTCATTAGGATTGGTTCCTAGAGAATATAATCTTACTATTCAATGTGATTTGTATATAAATAGCGTATGGAAGGAGCGATAAGAACCTTTTAAGCAGAACAGCTACCAAATAAGCTACAGAGCAGGCAAATAATGAATGCACTGCTCTAAGCAAAAGCTGAGGAGGTAGAATAAGCATCTCTCAGAATTACAGGATATTATAGGGGAGAAATAACAGGTGCTCAAGGCAGGCAACCGGAATTCAAAGATATAGGTAAGCATCTGAGAGCACATACAAAATTCACCGTATGTGTACAACATAAACACAATTTACAAGACAGTAAAAACCAATCAGAGGTCAAACCATACTTAAAAAGGAGTCATCAGCCTTCACCATGAAGAGTAAAGGTACATCTTTCACCATCACCAGAAAGTTTAAAAAAAAAAACAACTAAGGCTTTGTGGAACTGAAACATGGGAAAATGTCAAAGGCCTCTACGAGAATGTTCCGCCTCCAGGTTCAAATCACAGAGATTCAAGTCTCAGGACCATTAGAGGGCCCCAGGTGACTTATGAAAAAAGCCACTGCAGAGATGAGGGATTTTATTTAGCATCCCAGTTCACCTATCTGCCCTCACCTTCAGTGCTTTGAACTCCTCAGAGTAAGGCAGCACTGTGAAATCCATCTAGGAGATCACCTCTAAAGGAAAGGCACCAGCCTAAAAAGGTGAACTGTCATAGTGCAGATTGCATACTATAAACTATCAGGAATCTGTGTTTGAAGGCCACCTGTCAAAAAGACCAGTTTTCTTTGGAACAACAGGTGGTCTCCTATGATTGACTGCACATAAAATACACGGTAGTATTAGTATTGGCTGATAACCTTCAGGAACTTACCACCTGCTGGGCTCCAGCTATTACCAGAGTCTGCCAAGGGGAGTTTCTACTTTTCCCTGTAGGAATGGCTCATGATTCATATACAAAGCAAGAAACCTAGGCAGTAGTTGGATTGTCGATAGGACAGAACAATCTTTATATGACATTATTTTTTGTTGCATTAAATTCTACATACTATGTATGAGCTGTATCAACTGTAGAAGATATGCAGGTAAATCTAGAAAAACAGCTCTCAAAAAATGGTTTAAAATGGATGTCTAAGCCTAAAAAACATAAGTAGTTAATTCTCTTTCAGCTGATTACCAACATAATATATGTAATTAAGAAACAGACCTGATTAATTTGAAATTTGAAAAAAGAAAACTAATACATTTCCTCATACCTTAAAAATATATTAAAGCTAGTTTAGTGGTCTCTGCTGCCACCTAGGCTATTCAGAGGCAGAATATAGGAATCAACTATAACAACTGACATTTATATAGTGTTTTGAGGTTTGCAAAGTACTTTATATACATTATCTCAATCCTCACAAAAGTCCTGTGAGGTCAGTAATACAGATATGATCTGCAAATGAAACCCAGAGAATTAAGAAATTCACCCTTGGTCTTATTACTAATAAGAACCAAAAGTGGGATCCAAAACCATATTTCTGTGGATTTTAAGTGTAGCTATTCCATATTAAGCGTAACTATTTCCACAACACCATATCGGTATAGGTAATGTATGCTAAAGAGAAATTTGAACACACACACACACACACAAAACACATGTCTAATCTACAATATCCATAAGCACTAATAATATTCAAATTTCTTACCAAGAATTGTAGGGATCTTTATCAGCCTGCCTCCTTTTATTACTCAGCATCATACTCTGCTATTCTTCACTTCACATTTTCACTCCAGCCAAACAACCCCATAAACTGTTCCTGGTACACAACCTGGTCACTAATTCTGTTGTTCTCTTTCATGTCTCTTTCAAAAATAAACTTCTCTTTTCCTTCAGCAAACTATATTCCTTTACTTCAAAACAATGCTTAATAGGTTCCATCAATAACTAACTCTATGACATTAGAAAAATCGCTTAACATCTCTGAAGCTTGGTTTTCTCACAGCTAAAAGAGTTGGGCCAGATAATCTCTAAAATTGTATGATAAGATCAAATTCCACGTAGCCTCCATTAACTTTTTCTAATGATGGACTTTATATATCCATTACTCCAACATTCACAACACTTATACAAAGGTATAGTTGTGGCAACCAGAAAAACTAATGAAATATCTGCATAAAAAGGGGCATGGCTTCCAGAAATAGGGAGATGAAGGTCCCACTATATGCTGCCTTCATCATACCTCATCTAGAACACTGTTTGCAGTTCTAAGTAACATACTTTAAAGAAGACAATAATAACCCAGAAAGTTCAGTAGGGCAAATAGGATAATGAAGAGCCTTGAGTCTACATAATGTGTGCACTGGAAGAAGCAACTAGTCATGTTTAGCTTGAATTTAAAAAAAAAAAAAGGATATATCAGTGAGAGAGGATGGGGGAGAGGGGAACATAATACTTGTCTTCAAATATCTAAATGGCTGTGATGTAGAGAAAAGACTAAACTTGTTCCACTTGGCCCCAGAGGGCAAAATACCAGGAATAATGGGTGGAGGTTGCAAAGAAACAAATATTTTACTCAATGGCAAGAAAAACTTGTTAACAATTAGAGCCAGCCAAAAGTAGAATTGTCTGCTTCTACAGTCACAGGGGTCTCCCTCCTCAAAGGTCTTTAAGAAGAGCCTAAAAATCACTCAGCAGGGATCTTATGATGGAGATTCCTTTGATGTGTGAGTTGGAATAAATGGCCACTGAAGAACCAAATCTCAAATCCCATGATTCTGTTATTTCATCACAGAAAACTCTCAATGAGGAAACTGCCTCTTCCAATAAAGACTGGTTTGTATTCTGCAATATATAGTTTTAAGAGAGTTGCTAGTAATAAGAATTAAATGATGTACCCACAGTCACATCAATGTGTCAGAAGTGAGACTTGAATCCAGATCATCATGCTTTCAAGGCCAGCCTTTTAACCATTAAATCCCCCTGCACCATCATTAACATTTGTATAACTATAAACATAATTATATATTGATATAGATAAGATATATATATAATCAGCCAACATTCACATGACTTAGTTTGCAAAGGGTTTTACATACAACATTCTCCAACCCAATCCACCTCATTCCTATTATTTGAGTTCCTATCTAAACATCAAGGCCCAATTTCAATACTACATCCTGTACAAATCCTTCCCTGAACTTTAATCAGAAATGGTTACCTTTTTCTCTGAAGTCTTAAAACACTTTGTCAACATTTCACTTAAGTACTCAATACTTCCTACCTTTAATTTTATTAACTAAATACAATAATATCCTTGATGAGGCAAAAATTAGTCTATATCTTATCTTTGTATTTCTCTCAGTACCACCAGTCTCCAAAAAATTAAAGTTGAGAATCCCTCCAAAACCAAAAGAAAGCAAAGAAAACCTAACCAAGAAGAATGTGTGTGTATACATATATGTGTGTATGTGTATATATGTATGTATATGTATACGCATACATATACATACATACAATCAGCGAGAAATTATAACCAGACTAGAAGATAGATTGGTCACATAAGAGTGAGAAATAACACAGAAAGTCTATGTGCTTCATAGGTATCCATGCACTGTCATGAGGTCAAGAGGAAAGTATACCGTATGTTGGGTAGAACTCTGATATTTGATTCGTGTCATCAAAAGTCACTCAAGATGGGAAGGCACGGATGGGTTACAATATATGGCATTAGATGGAGCTCTCATATTGAACAGACAACAGATCCATCTCAATATTTCCTTTAGCACTTAAGTCTTATACATAATATAAGACAATGAACAACAGAAATCAAAACTAAGAGAATAATTCCAAGTTCAGTCATTTACCACTGAAAACAGCAACAGCATCAATAGATGCTAGTTGTCAGTTTAAAGTTCTAATAGTGCCACCTAGTGGATATAACAACTAACTTCTAGCATTTATAAAAAGCTATTAAAATACTTGGCTATTTTAAAATATACCTTGAGAAGGTCTTGGGTTTGAAATTTCTTTTAACATAGAAATAAATAATCCACATTTTAATCCTAATAAATAATATTTCTTTGTAAACTAATCAACCAAAGTTTCTTACTACCAACTGAAAACAAGAAAAATAAAGTGGCATTGAAATAATTTAAAAAGTAAATAGCTTAATACTAATATGATTAATTTCCACAGCAAAATATTATTAAAATTTTGATATTCATGTCCCTAGAGAGATGTCTAAATAGAATAGGTATCCATCATAACAGGATGATTTAACTACAGTCCAGCTTGGAGGCAGAAAAATATACTACATGCTCTCTTACAGTCCCATCTAGTCTCACAGTTCCATAATTATTTAATAAAAGCTAAAAGATACTATCCTCAAAATAAATATTTTAATTTTCAAGGCTAATTCATATGACAAACTAGTAGCTCCTTTCCAGGCGCTGCAATGTGTCAATGGGTACTTTGGGAGTTCTTAATCTACAATGTATGGGCCAAAAGACAGACAGGCTTTGCTGTACCGATAGCTATTTAAGTGCATTCACACTTAAAGTATGCTTATTACAACGCTAAAAGGAAAACTGAGTAAGTCCCATTTGTATAGCTGTTCCGATCATCTATTTTCCCTAGCCTTTGTTTTGATGTATGCACCTGGAAAATGTCCTTTCCAAAAATGCAGAGGAAGTCAAGTAATGTATTGGAGAGAGGAAATGACACAAGTGAACAGATGAGATTATACAGACATCAAAGGCTCTGATAACAAGGCCAGCATGACAATAAAGCAACCTATAACCTTAAAGCAACCAAACAGATGAGGAAAAATGTGTCAAGAAGCACCATTCCCATGTTTCATTCTTATCACAGCTGCCTAATTTCCACAAGTTATGCAGGTAACTTTGTAGTTAAGTTCAATTCTACAGAAAGGAAAAGGCTGGTAATGAAAATAAGATGACATAATGAATTTATCTTTGAATTCTACCTTTAAAAATATCACAAGTTATGCATCCTTGAATTCTCCAAGTGCTGGGGGTTTTGTTCCACTGTGAAAACAGGGTGAATAGCAAGTCTGTATTTTTTATATGTAAGATTATTTCTAAAAGTTGATGACTATGGTGTCCCTTAACACAATCATTTCCTATTAAATTATAAAAAACAACATTTATCCTAATGCCTACCTTTAAGTCCCAGAAACAGGTTGGGGAGGCCAAGAAAAATCCAAAAGCAGGCCTATCCTCAAGGAATTTACACTCCATCAAGAGAAAGCAACATGAACAAAAATAATTAAGGATAAAATATATATACAGAGTACATACAAAGTAACTTGGGGGAGTGGCACACTAGAAACTCTGAGGATCAGTTCATTTAAGAGCTTTTGCTTTCAAAATTCAGTTTTCGCTAAGTTAAACAGGAGCTTAAATGTTCAATAAATACTTTTTGATGAAGGAAATTATCAAATATGAGAACCTATTGAAGAAAGGGAAAAGTCCTTTTGTGGTCCATAATTCCTTCCAAATTAATACTAAAAATACACTCTGTTATACATACAAAATTATTACTTTGGGTATACACACACACACACCTTCAACCCATATTAGTTTGACAAAAACAGAATACACTAACAAGATAATAAATAGCAATGATACAACAAAGGTCTAAGATGTAAGAGAACTGAATCAGTCAAATAATGAAGTACAGGACCATAAGAAACTTTACAAGATCTTCTCCATTGCTAATTTTTAAAATAATTTTTAAATGACAAGTAGAAACCTCTCAATTTCATTAGTTCATATGCTTTCGTCAGAGAACTTTCATTTTAAGATAAAATATTACCTATTGATTTCATCTGTTTTAAAACACAACCACAAATAATGTTGTATTAGCCTCAAGCATCTGTTCTCTGAGCATGATACAAAGGCAATCTACTTTCCTTGTATTCTAACTAGGCACTGAGAGTCCTTGAAACAGAAGAATGCATGGTAAGGTTAGCCAGGCATATATTGGCTTATCCCCTCTTGCTCAATCCATCTGCACACTCAATCAAAGATATGAAAAATCATAATCTACCTTCAAAACACCATTTACAATACTTCACTCAGTAGGAATCACTCTGGAGAAAATTACAGCTTTGTCTCTAAACCCAAACTACCTCCATTTGTTGCACTCATTCCTGTACCATTCTCTTCCACTGCCCTACATACCTGTGGGGCTTGGCTAACTGATGGCTTTTCTGTTCTTCTGTTATTGGACGCCCTAACCCTCTGATTTCTCTGGAATTTGTAGATCTTTGAGTCTGAGAATAAATCTTTCACTTAGCCACTATGCCAGATAATCTCAGGACATTTAAAAGCCATTTGACACTCTCATACAAAACAGAATTTACAGGCCACCTGACACTTCTATTTGTATTTGTCAACTGAGAATCTTTCAGGATTTAGTCAAAAGCCATAAAGACTCTGAATGCTGCAAAGCATTACAGACGTGCATTTAACATCATTTGCAGAAGCATTTTTTCATACCTCATGAATCCCAGTGTTATTTGAGGGAAGTAGGAGTTAGAAAGATTTAAACCAAACTATATATCCTAATGGGGAAAAAAATGTCACTAGGAGCACTGAGAATTAATAAACCTTTTTCTTTTCCTCTTCAACATTTTGACCCAATTTTCTCCTTTTCATAATTTATTCCTACACATACATTTCAGTCTTAGAGACACATCCCTAATTCAGGAAAAACTTTTCATCAATCTCAAGTACGAACACACGTCACCTGCCTTGGAGTATGTTCCCTAACCTCTTTTCCAAGATGGCCTCCTCATCAAAGGGAGCTACTGCTACACTTTAAAACTCTATTCCCATGGCTTCATAGAAACCTGAAAGACTTTATGAAACAATGCAAATTGAAATAAGAACAATTCATACAATGACAAAAGAGTGTAAAGACAAATAACTTTGAAAGATTTAAGAACTGTGATCAACACAAGGACCAAGCACAATTCCAAAGGACTCATAATGAAACATGCTGCCCAACTCCTAATACAGAAGTGAAGGGTCAGAGCTTGCCTATATATCTTATCTATACATGTGCATGTTGTCTCCACTATCAGACTGTGAGTTCCTTGAGGGCAGGGACTGTGTTTGCCTTTCTTTATATCACTATGACTTAACACAATGCTTGGCACACAGCAGTGCTTGAGTATTAAGTATTAAGTAGTGCTTAATAAATGCTTGCTGACTTTACACAGCTACTTCAGTTATCTCCCTAGGGTAGGTATGATCATATTACTCCAATGTTCAAACACCTACCTTTAGAAGTTAAAATACAAATGAGGGAGCCTGGCATTCAAAGCCTTCTAAAACCTGACTCCGCCTTGTACGCCCAGACTTATTTCTTTAGTGCCCCTTCACACACCGTACATTCCTGCCAAAGTGGCAGACTACGTGATATTTCCCAAACTCGGCACTCCCTCTCTAATTTCAAAGCCCTCACACAGGCTATCCCCATATGTGGAAAGCATTTCCTCACCTCCATATCTCAGATGGCTTCACTTCTGTTTAAGGCTACCTTATGTGCTACCTACTTGAAAACCTTTGCCGATCAGCTGAGTTGCCAGTGCTCTCTCCCTACTCAATGGCCTTACATTTACTCAACTTAGTGTACATGTCGTGTCCTCCCCAGTATTATGTAAGCTCCTTGAGGGCAGAAGTCATTCCATTTTTGTCTTGGTATGCTCAGCCCCTTAATGATGTCTTGCACATAGTAGGCAATACTGAATTATGTCTGAAAAGCAACCTAGTTAATTTCAAAAAGGCTTACCACCAAATTGACTGTAGTGTGATTTTTTTTTTGTCTTTTTGGGCAATAGCAATTCTCGAATACCTTCCACTGAGCAACAGGAAAGTTATGAAAAATTTCACTGAACGACTACCAACACAGATAAAACTACAAATCTTTCCATATATTACATATCCTTAAGTAAAGAGAGGCAGCATAGCATTGCGGCTACAGAGTTGGCCTCAGAAGCAAGAAGACCTGGGCTCCCACTTCTGACACATCCTGGCTTATTTAATTTGTCAGTGACCAACACAAGGGTCTAAGATTATACGTTTCAGAGCAGTTGACCATACATACTGGTACCCCTCTTCCTCCAAAAAAACCTGAAAAATATCAAATTATTACAAGAAGTTAATTTGAAATAATAGTCTACAAACCCAAGACAAACATTCAAAATGCCATTTTATATTAGCTCACATTTATATAGGGCTCTAAAGTTTACAAAGTGCTTTCCTCTAAAATATCCTTTTAGAAAGGGTATTAACTCTATTTTACAACAGGGTATTGATCTTATTTTACAACTGACGAAATTGAGGCTGAGAAAGGTTAAGTGAATTTTCCAAGGTCACTCTGACTAAAAGTCAGAATCAGGTCTCAAATCCAGTTCTTCTAACTTTGGTCCAGTTACAAACAGCTTCTCACATTTACGATCCTAATGCATACAAAGAAGGAACTCAGGAAAACCTAAATTCTAATCCAGCCTCAGACACTTACCAACTGTATGACCTTGGGCAAGTCACTTAACCTTTTGTTTGCCTCAGTTTTTCTCACTTGTAAAATGGGAATAACAATAGCACCTAACTCCCAGGGTTGTTGCAAGGATCAAATAAGATAATAATCATTACATTAAATCAAAAGGTTTTTGCACAAAGCCAATGCAACTAAGATTAGAAGGAAAGTAAAAAAATTGGGAAAGAATTTTTACAACCAGTGTCTCATTTCTAAAATATATAGAGAACTAAGTCAAATTTAGAAGAATACAAATCATTCTACAACTGATAAATGGTCAAAGGATATGAACAGGCAGTTCTCGGAGGAAGAAAATAAAGCCATCTACAGTCACATGAAAAAATGCTCTAAATCACTATTGATTAGAGAAATACAAATGAAAACAACTCTGAGATACCACATCACACCTATCAGACCGGTCCACATGACAAAACAGAAAAATAATAAATGTGGGAGAAGATGTGGGAAAACTGGAACACTGACACATTGTTGGTGGAGTTGTGAAATGATCCAACCATTTTGGAGACCAATTTGAAACTATGCCCAAAGGGCATAATGTGCATACCCTTTGACCCAGCAATACCACTTCTAAGTCTGTATCCCAAAGAGATCATACAAATGGGGAAAGGACCCACATGGACAAAAATATTTACAGCAGCTCTTTTTGTGGTAGCCAAGAATTGGAAATTGAGGGGATGCCTATCAATTGGGGAATGGCTGAACAAGTTGTAGTATATGAATGTAATGGAATACTATTGTGCTATAAGAAATGATGAGCAGGCAGACTTCAGAAAAACCTGGAAAGACTTGTATGGTCTGATGCTGAGTGAAGTGAGCAGAACCAGGAGAACATTGTACACAATAACAGCCATGTTGTGCAATGTCTAATATTGATAGACTTAACCCTTCACAGCAATGCAAGGATCTAAGATATCTCCAAGGGCCTTATGATGGAAAATGCTATCCACATCCAAAGAAAGATCTATGGAGTTTGAATGCAGATTGAAGCATACTATTTGCTATTTTTTCCTTCTGTTGTGTTTTGTCTCCTCTTTCTGGTGGTTCCTCCTATTGGTTCTACTTCTTACTAACAACATTACTAGTGTGAAAATATGTTTAATAGGAATGTATATGTATAGCCTATATCAGATTGTGTGCCGTCTTGGGGAGGGAGGTGGGAAGGGAGGGGGAGAAAAATTTTAAATTCAAAAGCTTATGGAAGTGATTGTTGATAAATCAAAATAAATTAAAAAAGTTAAAAATAAGATAATTATGAAGCTCACAGCACAGTGACTAGTACATAGTAAACTCTATATAAATATTATTTATTACTAATATTAGAAAGAAAAAAAATTTTAGACCAGTTGTAAACTTAAGATTTTCCAAAGGCTAAAAGAGCAACACTACATATCACTTAAGGAAAATATTTATGAAAATCAGAAATGGTGAGGCATTTATGAAATCAAATACTCTCAAATACCGGGATTCAGCTTTGCTTTGCAAGGTGAGACACTAGATTTATGCTTACGATTTACAAATTTCTCAAATTAAAACCATAATATTTCTGAAAAATCATCTACTAACCTTCAGTACCACAGTCAGAAAAACTGTCAATGAGGGAATCTGTGTAAGGTTCAGCAGGGCCAATCAATTCAGAACCATCATGAACTTCTCCACCCTGAAAAAAACACAGTCATTTTAAATTCCAAGGGTGAAAAATTATTATCTTGGAGACTCAGAGCTCCACACACCCCTTCCTCCAGCCCCCTTCTCCAAAGTTCTTCAGTAGGCCATTACTGATAATGAGATTGCATTGGAAGCTACTCAGGCTTGGGTGGAAACAGATTTCTTCTGTCTGGATAAAACAAGGTATTTCCTCTGTCAGGAGGTAGAATGAAGGCAGGGTGATATCAGCCCCTTTTGAAAGGGTATATAAACTGGGCACCCAAACCCCCAAATTGAGCCAGTTCTGAACTGGCCCACTTAGCGGGGCCCAGTTCTGGACTGTAATTCCCATGCAATGCATGTCAAGCCAGCTTGAGAGAAATTGAACATAGATACACAACTTCTTTCATTTGTTTTTCTTAGAACAAACTCTGTTTTGGGGGTTGACACAGGTCAATCAATTAAACATAAAATAGAAAATTAGTAACAAAAAGATCATGGCTGCTACAGCTATGATACAAGAGCAAAAATATTAAAAGGCTACTGAATAATAAAGTTTAATAAATTTATTTTTAAAATTCAAAATGTAACATATTTCACAACAAAAGTAGCTTACTTCATGGGAATTACTACTTTAGAATTAAATAGATAGATAGAATGCCAGGCCTGAAGTGAGGAATGAATCTTCCTGAGCTCAAATCTGGCCTCAGACATTTACTAGCTATGTGACCCTGGGCAAGTCACTTAACCCTGTTGGCCTTAGTTACTCATGTTATAAAACGAGCTGGAGAAGGAAATGGCAAATCACTCCAGTATCTTTCCCAAAAAAATCCAAATGAAGTCATGAACAGTCAGACACAACTGAAATGACTGCAACAACCACAAATACGCATGTGGGTAGAAACAGGAAAGGAAAACCTATGATGAGATGCATTTATCCAGGAAACCAAGCTTGTTGAAAAAACGTTTATCGTAACAAATCATCTGTGAGTTCTAATTCTAATCAGTTAAGAATAAACTAATATATTGGTGGTAGTGGTGTGAATTGTTCAAACAATTCTACAAAGCAATTTGGGATAATTCTAAAACATATATATATATATATGTGTGTGTGTATGTATGGGTGTGTGTATATGTATGTAGGTATGTAGGTATGTATGTATGTATGTATAAAACAAAAATGTCCACATCTTTTGACCCGGGGATCCTACTCTTAGGCATATAACTTAAGTAAATCAAAGATAGAAAGGTCCCATATATAACAAAATATTTATAGCAGCATTTTTTCTAGTAGGAACTAGAAACTAAGTAGATGCCCATCAAATGAGGCATGGCTAAACAAACTGCTATATATAAACAGAATATTATAGCACCTTATGAAATGATGAATATGAATACTGAAAAAGATAGAATTATACAGAATATCCCAAAAAGTCTTAGTCTTGTTTTAAACTATTAGAACTATTTAAACTATTAAAAGCATAAAACAGTGCTCAGACTTTGTAAATTGAAAAAAAAAATGAATGTTGTATAATTATGATGGCCAAACTTGGCCTGAAGAATAGATGAGGAAATGCACCTCCCCCTCCTTTGTTTATACAGTTAGGGAAATACGGGTGTAAGACAATGAACATAAAGTCAGACTCAGTTTTTAATGTTAATTCTGCTAAAAGGATTTTTTCCTCTTTTAAATCTTTGTTATACAAGATGGCTCACTGGGTAAGAGAAAAGGAAGGAATACATTTGGAAACCATGGTGACAAACAAAAGATATAAATAAAAAATTTTAAATAATAAATTTATGTTATTCAAATTTTTAAAATGTCATCAACTTAGA